TACGAGATTATAAAAAAGGTCAATATAAGAAGTTGTGAAACGAAAAATTCAAAATTTTACAACATAAATGAATAATCTCAATAAAGGCTAAAAATTGAGTTTAAGAGTAAAATAATTTCGATATGATTGAACTATATAGGCTATAAATTTGAGTTTGTTAAAAAATAAATGATTTCGTGTATATAAAAATAGATAAATGAGATAAGCTGTAAATCGAGTTTGTTAAAAGTAAGCTGTAAATTGAGTTTGTTAAAAGATAAATGATTTCATATAAATAATAATGGATGAATGAGATAAGTGAGCTATAAATTGAATTTGTTAAAAAATGAATGATTTCAATATAAATAATAATGAATGAATAACTATAAATTTGGTTTGTTAAAAATGAATGATATCAATATAAATAATAATGAATGAATAAGCTATAAAGTAATTTTACTACCATACTTTCGTAAATAGAGGACATGGGCGTTGTTTGGAAAATCGAATCTCCAAAAATAATAGGTTTAAAATAACGCCCATGTGCCCACTGAAATAATGTACATGCGCGCACAAGATACTCCAGTGAATGCAATTACGCTAAAATATGGTATGTAATAAGTAATTTATCATTGAAATAGACGTATCAACTCAATTTTTAACTTAACCAATTAAATTATCATGTCGGACAACTTCTGATCATAATAAATTTAGCCTCTAAAACGTATAATAATTTGCGCACGTTTCATTTGATTCTTTTACGTATAATAATTTGCGCAATTGTTATAATTGTGTCCATTCATCAGGTGCTTTTAATTCTCTGATTTTATCTGGTTGGGCGATGAATTGCATAACTAAACCTGATTGTACATGCCACTAAGAAAATAATGTTATGTTAGAATAAAAGCAATTACAATATAATGAAAATTTGAAGTGATAATAATGATTATGAAATTTCTGAAATTACTTCAATGTGACAGTGAAATCCCCATACACCAGGGTTATCTGATACAAATCGAAGGATAGTCCATCTGGTAGTAAAAATAAAATCTTGATTAATATTAGTAAAACAAAAGTTGGCAAATTCAAATTTACGCACCCATTAGGAGGAACAGTAACAGTATCACGTTGTATAGGGTCTTTGAAATTTAAATAGTTATAATCTGGGCTTGTGCCATTTTTACCAATACCAAGTACCCAAAATACGTGACCGTGCTAGTATTAATTGCATATTAATTAATATTATAACAAATAAATACATACATATATACATATATTCAAAGTACAGTATACATACTAAATGGAATGGGTGTACACCAGTATCATTATCTAAATGGATAAAAATAATAATATATAAAAACTTTATTAATTATAAAACAATTATTTATAAAAATAAAAGAAAATATTTTAATATAATTATTACTTGACAAAATAATATCAACAACTTTATTGTTCTCAATTAAGTAAGCATTTTGATCAGCTGGATATTCTTTCACATTATCGAATACTTTATGAAGTGTAGGGTATTTCGCATCCAATAAATAAGTTGAATTGTTTATATAACCCCTGACGATACCATTATCATCTGGATGGAAATTAACATCTACTATTAATTTATAATCCACGTCTGGAACATTATGATCATTATAAGGTTTTAAATCTGATGAATCCAAATCTACACAAGTTTCAGGGGTTTCAGTCCAGGCAACCGATTTTGGATCATCATCAATATCATGGCCTTCATATTCAACAATGGCTTTTACAAGAGGATTTAATTGATCTGATTCAGTGGCAAGACAAGCAGTTTCCATTTCCGAGCGCATCCAATATTTGCCTATAGGTTTATCAGCTGTCACAATAACAGAATAACGTTGGGCTATATTAATAGGGAGTCGGTGAATTGTGTGACGTTTGGTCATCATCCCTTCAACCTCAATAACATCCATAGGATGTTCATCAATTGAGAAAATAAATTCAGCAAAAGCACTAATGGAAAACAAACAAACAACAAACAAACCAATAAATAAATAATAACTTAAAAATATATATATATATTTATATTAAAAAACTTAACCTTGTATTGATAATTCGAATTCTGTATCTCTTTCCTTTAACAAATTTAAAGAGTGCTAATGGAGCATTATTAACGCATTCGCTACCTGCCGGTGCCCAAGAGCAGTTGTAAGAATTTTTTCCATTAATCAAACCATTATCAGGTGTTGGTTCACTTCCATTTACGTTTGCAGGATTCATGAATTCAGACAACAAGATCTTTGAATCCTTATGATACCAATCTTGTAGTAATACTACAATTTCCTCATCATACTCTTCAAGATAAGGATCATCTGGATCGTGAGCTATAAGGGCACCAACAATTCCTTCAATATATTGAGCGTTCGAATGTGAATGACTATTTTTTTTATTTAAAATTCGTGTTATTTAAAAATTATGATAATATAGTTGTCATTTCAAATAATTGATTATTTAACAAAGGCAACTTACTACCAGTAAGTCCCGCTTTGATCCACTTTAAATTCGTAGGTAAATGATTTTTTTGGTGGAATGCCACGCTGTGTTTGTCCAGGAACACCATCATACCAAGGAGTTCCACGTTGAAACATTCCATGTGAATGAATCGATGTCTCATTTTCTAAATCATTGTGGACATTAAGAACTAAAGTGTCACCTTTATTAACTTCAATGAGGGGACCAGGAAATTGACCATTTATAGTGTACATCTCTCGAGTAAAACCGTCAGGTGCTAATTGTTCTTTAGAGATAGTAATGTCATAAACTTTTTTAGTATCATGTCTTTTGTTTAGGTGGTTAGTGTGTGACGAAAATGTCCCTGGGAATGCTAATGCAGGATGGAATAAAAGTAATGAAAACGTTAAAATAGAGACCAACATCAAAATTTTCATTAAAATCATTTTTGACCAAAAAGTTGACGACATGATCTAATGAACTAGTATGAGAGAAAATAACCTTATATAAGTAAAATTACATATGGCTTTTCGTCTGCATGCTAAAAAATACATCCTTTCACAATCAATAATAATTTTGATACTATCTTATCTTACATAATAGATGTACCGTATAAATCCGAAATAACGCCCGTGGGCGTTATTTTGTAAATCAGGACCTTCAAAATAACATGCAATTTTGAATTAACGCCCATGTGTGTCCAGAATTAACGCACATCTCTATAAAAAAAATTAAAAGTGCTCCGGAGCTGGATTTAATATTAAGTAAATCGGGCCTTTTTTTAATTATTTTACCATCGTTAAAATTGTCTCAGTATGAACTTTTTTTTTTAGAAAATTAAAACAGACTTACTTAGCAACAAAACCGGTTCCAGAGCACCTTTTATTTATTAATATATTTATTACAATTAAGAGCTATTTATTTAATCTATATTTCGAAATAACATATTTGGGCGTACTCAAATAACGCGCAAGTCAGGTGGGCGTTATTTCGGAATTATACGGTTATAGGGTATGAAGTTTAAAAAAATTTGATATAGATATTATTGGATAAGCGGATCTAATTTTGTATTTTGTGCTTAATTCTGATAAAATTGAATATGAGTTATTTTTTTTTTGGCTTATCTTTAGAAGTACAAAAAGAATATTCTCTTAAAGGTTTTATTTATCATCGGAACAAAAAGGAAATGAAATATATTGTAATATCTATT